TTGCCAAAGAACTCCAGGGTCTTCATGAGTGGAGACYTGTCCCAAGGGGTTGCTTCCCTGGTTATCCTCAATGTGACAACCAATGACCACGGTGTTTATTTCTGTGAGGTTACACTTCCGGATGGGAAAGTGGTGACAGGAGATGGCACAAAGCTCAGGATCAGGAGAGCTCTGGGTAATACTTGGAGTTATTCACTTATTTTTCCTTGTTTTTCTTCCAAAGCTGGCCTGCACACTTGCAGAAACAGGGAAGCTGGTCTGTTTAACCTCTGGCATTAAGTGCCTGGTGTCATGGAATGAAATTGTTCTATAGCCCTTCACATTATTTTTGTAAGGCCAGCCAAGATTGATTGGCTTGTCTGTATAAACAAGCACAGGTATTATTATAAGTAGGAGCATTTARACCAAAAAGAGGAAGAAATAATGTTATCCATAAAAACAAAGTCCCTGCAAAAAATAAAACMGTCAGACAAGTTCCCTTGTACTCACAGCTCTGGCAGAACCCCCATGAGTGACAGGTATAATCTCAAGGAACAGCTCTAGACCTCTTTTTTTTTTTACATTATTTCTCTCCAACCCACTAACTTGCATAGTCATTCTTTAACTCTGAATGGCATAAGTAATCCCACAATAATCACGAGGATCATATATAATATGATCGTTATATAATTTCTGATTAACTTCATTCACATTAAAATGAAAGTGGCATTAACTGTGCCATGCTATGTTTTCYTAGCCTCACAGATACTAGGCATACTAAGTAAAGATGTAACTTGCTATGCCTGTATCAGCTGGAAATGTCAAACTTTCCTTTTTTGTAGGTTAAACAGAGTCCAGTCCCAAAAAGCCAACACATCAGAAGGGTCATCTTGTTATCTAATTAACTAAAAATACCTCCTTCTTTGTCGRGAGTAAATTATGCAAGTGCCATTTCCCTCTTATTCATTACCAAAGCTTCTATCTCACCAAGATTCACTAAGCCTTTGGCCTTTTGAGCCTGATTTACTAATTTTTATAAAACTACTCAGTTTAAACTGTAACACCAAAGCAAGAAAACTGTGCCMCTCTGCAAGGGCTTGGTTGTGTGTCTAATGAGGTCTCCTGCTGGCTTGATCTCACAGTCTCAGAAACATAGGTTACTCTTGAAATGTCTGCACTCTGGTCAGCATAATTGCCTCTCTGTGTTCCTGAGATGATGAAATGTATTATTTCAGCACTGTGCCTTCTCTGCCATGCAAGAGCCCCGAGAGCAACTAGTCAAAGACAGGGTTTCTGTGGAGCTCTGTCTGCCCTCTGTTGCTGTCTCCTTTGGAGGTAGACAGGAAGACTGATGTCTTTCTCAAGATTGTCAGAGTAATTATTTTCCTTTCAAAACKAAARCATARAGGCCTGAATCCCATTCTGCTGCTRAGCAGCAGCTTCTTTTGCCATCCCATTGTGTCTAGCTGTTGAGAGAGATTGCTGGGGTGATGGGGCTGTCCTGTCTCTAAAGCCCCAGGCAGCACAGCAGCTTCCTGCATAGGAATGAAAAAACTCAGTAGCTCTGTAGTGCAGAAGGAATTTCATGTCAGACAAGGCATCAGCATAATCATAGGAAGCAGCTTCCTCTGCAGCCACTGCAGAAAACATGCTGCTGCATTGCATATACTCGTCTGGAAAACATCTTATGTTTCTCTGCCTTCCTTTCTCCCCCAGGCTTGTTTGGCATAGAAGAATCCATTGGAACAATCCTTGGGGTTGTGGCAGCTGGCATTGGAGGCATAGTGGTTCTGATYATTGTTTTAACCCCGCAGCTGAGGAAGTGCAACCTCTGCGTGAGGCAGGAGTCTCGTCAAAGGTACCTGTATTGAAACTGAAAGAAGAATTAGACATTTATTTACCTCTGGTCAGACATGGGATCTGGTTCAGGCAATAAGCAGTGTGAATGAAACTCTAACAGAGCTGGTTCTATGGCTCATCGTTTATTTAAGTGGTTTTTTATTTATGTTGGGTAGCGCTTCATGAATGGGTCTAATGAGTTACCTATGAAGAAAATRATAGGATCTTCTTTAATTGCCACTTTCAACAAAGAGTTATTCAATGAGATGCTGCAGCTTCGTTTAACAAAGGCCAAAGCCTCATTTAGATCTTTTACTGTTATGCTGAAGGATGGTTCTTCCTCCTGCCAACTGCATGCTTACATCAGTGTTCTTGCAGTGCGTGTGTACAGGAAGCTTATGATGGCTTAAGTGTGAGGTGTAGTTTGTAAAGTCCTCCTTAAAGATCTATCTTAAATTGGATTTTAGGTAACGTTGGGAAAACAAGACATTTTCACCACACGTGAGGCAAAGAAATGCCCCAATAGGAAGCTGATGTTCCCAAAAGCTCGCCTGCTTCTTTCCTGTTCTGTCAACAGTTTAGTTTGAGGAGACTGACACTGTATTTTGAAATAAGTTTAGTTCCCGTTTTTAGCAACCCAAGATGTGGTATGTGTTTCAAACCGAGCTCAGCTGACTTTATCCACTCAATGAGGTGATTTGCGCCTCTTCTCCTGGCACTCAGAAATCTTGCTCGACCTGATGAAAAAAATCCCCTCCCTGRAGGGCTGAATGAAGAGCTGTTCTTGCCATTCACTGGAGCGCTGCCGCCACCTGATGGACAGCGTGGCGGGGACAGGGACACGCCGGGAGCTCTGTCCCTCTCACCGGGGAGGATCTTCCTTCCAGCCCTTGCTGAAGCGCACTCCCTTCCATAGGCTGATGCTGYCCGCACAGCATCATCCCTCTGCAAACACTCTACATTAAGAGTTCACAACTTCTTTTCTTGCCAGAAAGCCTCGGAAGGGTTTMTTGTGTTGTACTGACTCTGTGTTGCTCACTCGTTCTCTCTCCTTCTTGCTCAGCCCAGCTTGAAGTGCAGCATTACAGGAGTCACTGGGATATACAAAGTCTGCAGGTGGAACAACTTCTGATGCCCCATAAGCCAAAAACCGGAGTTCTAGAYGGAATAAAAGCCTTTGTGTCTATATGTTGTCTTTGCATTTTTGTTTTAATTAGCAAGCTTCTTTTCCCTGCAGCTTTGACAGCCACAGTGGCATATTCACCATCCTCCTGCAGCAAGGAGCAAAGTAGCCTTTTGTGAAGAAATTTGTACTACCAGCTGCCAAAACCGCACTTAGTTTGGCCACATATCCCTGAATTTAGACTCTGCTGAGGTATACCCTGGGTCTTTCCATGCAGTTAGTTCTTATTTTAAAGGTGCAGTTAGAAATTTGTCAGCTGAGCTTCAGCAGAGACAGAAGGAGCCCAGCCTACCCTGTTACCCCCAGTGCCCCCGCTGGCCATGCAGTGCTGGCACCTGCCCGAGGAAATTAAAAGCGTTGCTTCTGGGGGTGCAGGAGTGGCTCTTATCTGTCTGTGCCTCCTGGCTCTTGTCCTGATGGCTTGCTCCAGCCTGCACACTTGTAACCAAGAGGCAAAGAAGGCCCACTTGTACATGGCTRCTCCTGGCTGAAAGAATGAGATTTTGGTTTGTCTTGCCAGAAGGAAATGTAGTGTTTTGATTTAAACCTCTAATACCCTTAAGAAAAAAAAGAGATGAAAGCTTTGCTTGACATGACTGATGGTCTCCACAGCCACCATTTCCTGGTGTGACAATAATTTATTCCCAGGCAGGCAGTGACTGGGGGACATGGCTGTATAGGAGACCATCTTCTATAGGTGTCAGARAACAGCATATCAGCTCTGAAGTCTGTGTGGCAGTGAGAAGTAAACTCTTTTGCAGAGTGTAGGGTTGTCTGCTAGTAAGTAGAAGTCAGAAATCCTTGCTGACCTTGCAGCTGCCTGCAGCCCAGTGTAGCTCTGCTTGCCCTTGAACCCAGCTCAGATGGGAGGGGCATGAGGAATAAGACAWTAGGGCTCTGAGCAGCCYGATCTGGGTAAAGGTGCCCCTGCACATTGCACAGGGATTGGAACTAAATGATCTTTAAGGGCTCCTTTCAACCCAAACTATGCTATGATCCTACAACCAAAAAGGTAATGAAAAATAAGAAAAAGCCATTTGGTGACAGCAAATGTGCTCCCACTGCACCACAGACCAAGCCCTCTGTTTCTGCAAAGGCCATGGTCAGAGCAGGGTATTGCCCTGTCTTCAGCGTATGTTATGCTGTCACAGAATCACAGGCTGGGTGAGGTTGGAAGGGGCCACAGTGGATCATCTGCTCACCCTCCCTGCTCAAGCAGGGTCATCCCAGAGCACATGGCACAGGATTGTGCTCAGGTGGGTCTGGAATATCTCCACTGAGGGATATTCCAAAACCTGTCTGGGCAACCTGTTCCAGTGCTGAATCAACCACACAGTAATGAAGTTCCTCCTCGTGTTCAGGTGGAACTTTTTGTGCCTAAGTTTCTACTCGATCCTTCTTGTTCTATTGCTTGGCCCCACTGAGCAGAGCCAGGCTCCATCCTCCTGACACCTTCCCTTCAGCTACTCACAGACACTGGCAAGGTCCCCTCTCAGTCATATCTTCTCAAGCTGAACAGCCCCAGCTCCCTCAGTCTTTCCTCATAGGAGAGATGAGGACTCCAGTCCCTTCATCACTTTTGTCACCTTTTGCTTCTCCAGCAGTGTCAGGGCACATAAAGTCCCTCACCAGAACCAGGGCCTGTGACTGTGGGGCTGCTTCAAGCTGCCTGTAGAAGGTCTCATCCTCTTTGTCCTGCTCTGGTGGCCTGTAGCAAACACCCACAACAGTGTCACCCTTACCAGTCTGCCCTTTTATCCTAACCCATGAGCTCTCAATTCACTTGTCATCCACCTGAAGACAGAGCTTGATACATGCCAAATGTGATCTCACAGAGAGGGCAACTCCACCACTGGAGCACCTTCCTGGTCTGTCTCTTCWCCCCACAACCTTGGCCTGATAGAAATTCTCTCACACCATTGTTAGATCTGGAAAACTAGGAAAATTTTTATTCCAGCACCTTCTGGTTCAACTCATCAGAAGAAAGRTCCTAAAAAGRTTATTCTGGCCCCCCAAATCTGACRTGGCAGGTGGGATGAGTCTGTCCACATAAAAAGTCTGGCCAGAGGATGAAGTGTGGGTTGTATGGGGCTGCTCCCCAGCACTTGGCTGCTTCTTGGTCACACAGGCACACCATTTTTTCACACCGGTCTGTCAGGTTATCTGCAAAAGAAAACGGGAGCAGAGGATGAGAGATTCTGTATCAGACAAAGGCAAGAAAGTTCTAGGAGGAATAATTCTCTAAAAAAGCAACTTTCAGGGATCAGATGCTATGGCAGGAGGACCAACATGTTGTRTTGTGGGCAGATCTGACCCTCCCCTGCTCCCTCTCTCTCAACAGGTYTGACCTTAACTGTGACCAAGACCATCAGAAAGCAGCAGCTAAATGTAAATTAGCAATGCTTATAAAAATCTGCCGAGCGCAGGGCACTCCCTGATTCTAGCACTGTGTGAACAATGAGGGTTTAATTCAGCAGTCAAAGCTAGAAAGGAAAATGGTTGTATCTTAGCCTGAGGTAAAAATATTTCACCATTCCTCAGTCAGTGAGTTTCCCTTCTAACTCCTCCTTCTGCAAAACAGATCGATTTCAAAAGAAAAAAAAAAAAACAAAAAAACAAAAAAGAAACCCGCTGCTTTGAAAGGAGAAGCCTCCCAGAGGGATATTCAGAAACCTGAGGGCATCAAGCACCCACCAGGCATCATCCAGTGTTGCTCCATCAGCTGCTGTTCCATCTCTCTGATCAGAGCAGAGGAGCCAAGGAGCTCTGCAGCAGGCCCAGGTACCTGACTGTGATGAGCCAGCAGCTAACAAAGTGATCAGAGTCACACATGGAACTGTACAGAATGCACCTGTATGACTACATGACCATAAACAACATCAAAGCCACCAGCTCAGAAGGCTGCATTGCATATGACTGATTTTGGAGTAATGAACCTCATCCCACCTATAGGCAGCTTAAATGCAGCTGCTGGGTTCATATTATTTCAAAGCACAGTGCCTTGTTTGTTTGAGGCTGCTACCATGKGTTATCCAGCAGCCACAAAACCCTGCACCAGGCCAAGTTTAATGTATAACTCGATGCACCAGTGCACATGGGCTTCACTCCAAAAACARCTACAAGTATAGGAATTTTTTCAGATTTCACTGGACTTTGACAGATCAACCCCGTAGCTGAAAAATAAGAAAAGCCCACATTTTCTAGGCTGGTCTGAATAATCACATATTTACCGATAAAAGTGTTTCAAGGGTCCCATTAATGAGGACTTAAGGCCACTTTTTTCTTAGCTATCAATCTTGCCTGATACTGTCCTTGTCCCTCTGCTCCTTGAGCTCTTCCTRTGCTGTGCTAGCCACTGTTCATTTAATGTGGGTACAAACATCTGGCTTCACATTTCTGTTASAGCAAAATGAGTTTTTGACCAGCCCCCACAACTTGCAGCCTTTTCTATATTCCAGATATTTATTGAATAGAATTTGCTACAAGTGATGGAATATCTGGACTGAAGAATATAGTTATGCCAGTTTTTTTCATTCCACAAAGCTACCTAATGGTAGCAAAAAGAGGAGAAATCCCAAGTAAAATGAGTTTCTGTTTATTTTACATTAAAGTATCTGTGTTTATGGTACAGTATCAGGCAGCAGGCATCTAATTCCTGTTGTATTGAAATGACAGCGCAAACTGTTCCGCTTCTAACACTTCTGGACATCATTACACTGAGCCCAGCAAGCATGCCTGGAAATTTAATTCTTCATCCCTTTTGTTTGGATGGGATCAGACATTATACCTYCACACCCCAGTAAGACCTGGCGTGCTGTAGCCTGGGGTAGAAAATTTGCCTGCAGAATAGATTTCTATTGTTCCTCCTCACGGGGGATGTCAGGGGAAGTAAAGCATGCTGAGGGCTGGTGGAGACCAGCTGATGGATGCATCTCTGGTGTTGTCTGGACATTACTTAAATAATTAATGGAATTCATTGAACTGCTTGTTGGCCACATCAGAGCAACTGCAGCCCACTGCACTCCTATGGCACGTGCCCCATGGACTCAGTGATAACTCTCACATCTGCAGCTTGGATTGTTCCTTCATAGCAAAGAGAAACAGGACTTTTTTTCCTGTAAGATGACTAGCAGAAAATATCAGTCAGCTATGGAAATATGGGTGAGCACAAGGGAGAGCATTTGTACATTAAAGTGACACATTGCTTTGCCAGCAATGTATTTGTGGCAAATACATTGTATTTGTATTTAATGGGCTGTTCTGGGACTTGGAAAAGAGCAACTGCAGATGTGCTGTGTCCCATCCCATATCTGCTGGCAGATTTTCAGCAAGGCCAAGGATTGCACCAGTAGGATATGGTCTTCTGAWAAGGTAGAAATCGTCTTCTTGCTCATCGTTTGAGCAAGTTGCTTCGATGATTATGGGGGTAAGTTTTGCTCTCACAATTTCTCTTCAAACTTTCAAAGTGCTCTACAATGGATTTTACCACCAGGAGCTTTTTGGAGACTTAGAAATACAAGTGACAAATTCTAAGACTCAAGTCATCTGGTGTATGTCAAAACAAAACTGTGTGAGACACTGACGGGTTGTGACTGTGCAATTCAAACCTTCCTGACTGGGTACCAGCTGTAGAGCTGAGCACAGCCCACACTCGCTGTCTGCCTGCAGCATTTGAGAGCATTTGATTCTGCTCGGTTCAAAATCCCCACTGGAACTCCTCACATAGGGCAGAGGCGCAGGCTGACTCCCTGTTTAGCCTGCCTTGCAGCTATGCTACTTATTGGTACTTAAAGGTAGTGAAAAAGTGGGCAGTCCTGCTGCAGGGAGGGCTGGAATTGCAATGGGAAGAGCAGCCCTGCTGACCATGGCACAGCTGTGGGAAGAGCCCAGTGAGGAGCAGGAATGCTTAATACCAGTGAGCAGAAAGTCTCCAGAGAGGCATCTGCATCCCTGCCGAACCAACATGGCTTTGTGGGCTCTGTGGCTCCCAGTCCTGCTCATCCACCTGGGGAGGACTCAGATTACCTGGAATGGGTTTTGCTGGGCTTCCAGCTTTCCTCCCAGCTCCACTCCTGRCAAGGTACAGGCAGAGAGCTTGGAAGAGAATGGACATTGCCTACAGCACCTCTAAACCAGTTTGGCAAACACAAATCTGCCTCTGGGGGCTCCACAGCTCTTTGGTGAGCCCGGTGCCTGCAGAGCGGAGAGCGGAACCCCCCGGCCCGAGGCAGCTTTTCCTTTTCTTTCCTTTCCTTTTCTTTCCTTTCCTTTTCTTTCCTTTCCTTTTCTTTCCTTTTCTTTCCTTTCCTTTTCTTTGCTTACCGCACCGCACGGTGTTGTGCTCACACGCCCACTGGTAGCGCTGCACTTTGGGGTTGCAGCCTTCCTTCTCCGCCGTGTCGTAGCAGCAGTCGTGCCTGTGGCAGCACCTGGRAAACATAAAAACATAGAGGCTGGGTGTCCTCCTGCATCCTGCGTGTTGGCACGGGCTTCGGGGGCGCTTCAGTAAATTATCTGCTGATGAACCAAGCATTCTGCCATCTCTGGCAAAGCTCACAGGCCTCCGGAGCTCATTCACGCCCTATTTGCTCCCCTGACCACTGTGCTTCTTCCTCTGTGCTTTTGCCCTCGTGAATGCATGTGTGGTCAAGACATGGCAATCTGTCTGAAGGGGAGATGAGTGTTCCTATAAGTTGTGCTATTGTGTCTCACTGGTTTAGACTTAGACTCATCCCAAAAKTTGGAAYTGGGATGCTTCTTGCCTTCCTCAGKATMACCAAGAAGCTTCATYTCTTCAGCTCACCTGGACCTGCCATGTGCTCYTTGGCCCAYCCGGTTTCTGAGGGCTGGCCCCAAATTAATCAGTCYCAGTGGTAAAATTCATATCAGTTAACCTTAAAAACATCTRCATCTAAGGCCTTCGCCTGTATTCCCTCTCTGCACATCTGCACCACAGTTCACGTTTTACTGCTGCAGAGATCTAACACAGGGTGAAAAGCATCACTTTTGAAAGTGCAGTCGTGTTTCACTGACTGTAGAGGGGATGAGGGTGAGTAGTTCAGGTTATGACATCTGTCCTATGGACTAGCCAGTGARATAATTCTCACTGTCAATTGCTTTTGAATTTATAGAAAACTTGATCGCACTTGAATTTTACTCTGGTAGTTTAGGACTCAAATTAGACCAAGAAAAGATTTAGCACTTAGAGAGGTTCTCTGCTGAATAACAAAGATTGTTTCAGCAGGGATGCAAGGTCGAGGCTGGAGCCAGAGAGCACTGATCTCCTCTRTTTCCAGAAGGTATCCCTGCAAGATCACTGTGACCCTACAGAGAAACAGCTCTGTTCACTGGGAAATATTGAGGCAGGTTAATTTTATATACAACACCTGAAACTCCAGGAAAGTTTAATCCATTCTCAGGACAAGGATAGGCAGCAGAGCAGGCCCAGCACTGGTGTATCATATATGGGATGCTGGGCACAGAAAACTGTGGTGGAGAGCCATGGATCCGGCTGAGCTGAGGGGAACACCAGCTATAGAAACCTAAAAKTCTGTGGGGTCTGGGGAGAATCTCAGGAGCCAAATTGATAAAGTTGGTGTCAGTAATGGGGGAGTGTGGGGAGGAAGAAAAACGTGAAGGTAGACAGGCAAAGGGAGGTGTASAAGCCTCTGTGCCAATGGAAAAAGATTGTTCTTCATGGAGAGCCAGGGGGAACAAAGAGCAAGAGAGGCAGGAGAAGTGAGAACAGATATTGCAGAGGGCAAAAGATGTTCTGTGAACCAGGCAAGGACAAGCAAATGAGCACTGAATCTGCACAAGCAAATGGTGTGCTAGCTAGCTGTGAGAACTCRCTGCTCCTTGACTGGCTGGGCTAAACTGGGGGGAGCTGCATAAACTCTGCAGGACCACAGGATCTGGGGCACAATTCTGCCTCCCTCGCAGCAGATCCTCCTGATCCCCCTCAGGTACAGCAAGATGACAGATAACTTACCCCAACTCAGAGGGAGAAGRCTTTTGACTCCTATTTCACAAACACCTGAATGAACCGCCAGGTAACAAAGACTAAGGAATCCTATTGTTATCCTTTGCCACCTTCAGATGGTCCCCTCCTGTCTGGAAATGCCCTTTGCTGCAGCTGGGTCAGAACGGTGTTAATCATTTAATAACCTGCTAACCCTCGSTTACACCAACACAAACAGAGCATGGCAGAGCGCCGGCCATCAGCTCTGGAAAACAAACACAAGCGTGTCACCTGCATTGTRAACAACCTGCTCATCACCCCTGGGCTACCAGACAGCGCTAATGGCTACAGACAGCTCCGGCTGCTCCGCAGGGATCAGCTGGCCAGAGCAAAGGCCAGTCAGGTAAGAATTTGTCACCTTGTATTTGTCACATTAACAGCACCCTCATTGCTGTGTGTCTTTTCTTTTTGCTTTGACTTTGTGACAGAGGGGATATCTTGCTCTTCCCYATGAGTTTGCCGGGATTTAACAGTTGGACACARTGATCTTAGARATCTTTTCCAACCTWAAGGATTCTATRAGTCGTATAAACATCCTGCCTTTCATRGTGTTTTCATGGAAAAGCTGAGCCCCCTCAGGCCCTGCTTTGCAAAATAGGTGCTGCAGCAATCCAGGGGAACAGAAAAGAGACAGAGAAGCAAATCTGTTGACTSGATGGGAAAGAAGTGCCATTATGCCTTGAAGTGATGGAATCGTGAGAGTGGAACAAAAGGGAAAAGGTAATTACTGACAACACCACATCAAAGTCAGTATGTGGAATAAACCTTATAAAAGGATTACCCACTCAATGGCTTTTTTTCTTTTGCACATAAAAGAGAGGTGCTTAGAAGCACTCTAGCCCTGTCTAGACAGATTGACTGAATTACACAGAAGAAAATGACTCCTTTTCTAAGGGTCTCAGTAACAAACCTAGAAGTGACAAGGGAGTGCATAATTTCAAACAGTGTTTGTCACTCACAGTCAGTAGTTTTGCCACTTTTCTTTTCTTTTTTTTTTTTTTTTTTTTTTTTTTAGAGTGGCAAATAAGGAAAATAATGTGGTCACTTTGACAAGTGTGGGGTACTCAACCACACTAATCATTACAGTAGTTCTTAGTAACAGACATCAATATTTCTCTAGCAAACAGAAAATGGAAATTTTTAGGGCTAAATCTAGTGTGTCATTGCTGATTCTTCCTAAGAACCTAAATAAAGCTTTCAAGTTTTTCTATAGCAGTCAAGCACTGCAGCTAAGGAATAACAATGAATGTACTTAGAGGACCAAGCTTCCCTTTTACAAACTATCTGATATTTTGGGGCTTTTCCACTTGCAAAATCTCATTTTCTGCCTTTAGGATAAAATCCATACTCTGTGGAATTAAAAAAAAAAAAACAGCAAAAACACTGGCTGATGAACACGTGGCYAGATTTTACTCTCTCTTTTTCAGGAGTGCTGACTATTTGCATCTCTCAGAGTCACCTAAATTTGGAGGTCACTCAGCCTCTAYGGAAAACAGCTTTTAGATCACTCTGCTCAGCCCTTCAATAAAAGCAGTACTCCAAATTAGTAAAGTGTTATACTTTCAAGGCTTTATTATATGATTTGTTAAAAGGTAACAAAAGTAACTAGAAAACAAAAACAAAACAAAAAACACCAACGAACAACCACCTTACATACACTGCTCTAGACTAGATGGTGATAAGCAGGTCAAGAGTAACTGTTGTTACTGATCATTTGTGAGCTTCATATTGATGGTTTCATAGATTAAATATTTCACAGATAAATAAAGGGACATGAGGAGAGAACTTTGGGAGTAAAACACCTCACTGCATTAATGAAGACAGCTCAATTCGTTTCAAGGGACAACTTCTCTTTCATGCCTGCAGATGAGCTGGTCTTAAACCTTTTTCATCTTCTCCTTTTTCCTCTCTTTTCAACCTGATACAACAAAATTAGGTTTTGAAGCAATGTCAATGTCTCCAGCATCAGGGTATTCTGGAAAGCTGTCTCCTGAGCTGCACACTGCCTTYCCCCCTGCTGAAAGCAGGGCTTGGTTAACAGTGGCACCTGGCCTGATGGCWGTAGGTTAAGAGAAACTCCTGCTCTGAGTCTGATATTTCAAACCTGGTGAGATTGCAGATATCAGGCTCAGGGCACACCAGAGCTCCCCATGCTCAGCTTCACATGCTCACTGCACAGCACGGGAAAGAAGCCTTTGATTTCAACACCTCTGGCATTTCTTGGGAATAACAAGCCCAACATCTTCCCCTCTAACCAAGAAAAGAGGAAATAACACCACACTCTCCCCTCTTGTTCTACCTTGATTCCATGTGAACTAACAAGCAATTTGATTACTTCTTCCAACAATGTGGATTTCTTCAAGAGGATAGACAGTGACAGGACCTGGGTRAAATAACCCTCCAAATACCTTGGATTATGCTCTTTTTGTCAGGCAGGGTTTGATCTCTATGAAAAAAACATTTAGCTATTTCAGGAAATTACATCCTGATTTCTCCTTTGCCCTCTACCCCACATAGTACKAGGTCCTAAGAGCTTTGGTGTCATMCAGAAGGAGGTTAAGCCCTCATTCAAATCCCAAGTGATACATGGGTCATCACTCACAAATCCCCAGTATGTTCCTATACACTAACTTCCCTCTCCACAAGGCAGGAAACGAGTCAGTGGACTCACAGGACTACAAACAGAGAAGGGAGATTTTCACAGCCCCTGGATACACAGTTGAAGTTTTTCTTACCAGTCTGTTTTATCTTTAGGCCAACCTCGTCCTCCCAGTCCGCAGTAACATCCATAGCCAATATATGCCAAGGGTGACCGTCCTGTGCCACAGGTTATAGCTCCAGCCAGTTCAATGATTCCTCGAGTGTGCAGTGAATGGGATTTTCCCAGAGCACCTTTCCAAACTGCAAAAAGACAGGACATGATTGCACACAAGGATTAAACRTGCTTGCTACTGGTTCCCTTAAACACCTTACAGGGAGATGGTTTTGATTTTGACCGGCTTGTTGGGTCTGACAATCTAACTACTCATGAAATTCAGCTCACCCTGCAGKGGGGCTTTGCCTGAGACCTGGGATAATCAAAAGGTGCATGCAGAAATACCCAAGCAGGCTGTTTCTTCCAAGGGAGCTCAATCCAAGCAGGTTGTGGTGTGCTGGTGTGTGATTGCAGCTGTAATCCCAGGAGCTGTGTGCCTGGTCCTGCATATCACAGAGCCCAAGCTGTTAAACTTTACAGGGTCTGTGCCAGCACAGGGCTTCACTGCACCCCAGAGCTCCCAAGACTGGGAAAGCTTTCCAGCTATGCTATGGTCCCAACTGGAACATGAAGCAGCAGGGTACAGCCAGGCAACCAGACGTAACCTGGTCTCTGTGCAAAGAAATGAGGTTTCTCTGTTGCTCGAGATTTCTTACATTATCCAAGCTTCTCCTGCTATTGAGGATCTTTTAGCCCACTCTCTAGGTGGCAAAAAGTACTGACAGTGCTATTAATCTGCACAGAGGGACAGTGACAAGTCCCTGAGCCTGCAGAGGACATACATGGTCAAGGACAAAGTGCCTCCATTGGGCAAGATGTATGTGTATCAGCTTTCTCTTGAGACTCTGGAAGTGCTGGCAAACCCTGCATCTGCTTCCTTTATTTTGTTCCACCTAGGTCATAACAGGTGGGCTGCATTAATTTGGGAAAAAGAAAGGAAAGAAGAAGAAAGGAGTTTTTGTCAGTAGGAGTGTATGGATGGCCACCCAAACCAGTCTGGAGATTTTTGAGGTACAAGTCTTTCAAACAGTCTCACGATTTCGCATGTCAATTTGCAACTTTTTTAGAAACCACAGACTCCATCTGGCAGCAACTGTTACAGAAACCCAGAGTGCCCTGACCCTCGTATTCTGAGCACCGTGATGCTCAGTTACAAACATTGCTGCTTACCATRCTGCAGTGACAAACAGGAGCATTCCATCCCAGGTTTACAGTGAAGGACTGAATGCACTTTGCGCTGCTTTATTGGTAGAATCGAAATCCCCAGCCTAACAGCCCAACCCATGTGCTCATCCACGCCAAAAACAAACAGGGGGACTTCGAGGCAGCTTGGATGGAGAGGGAGGTGACTCCTGGGAGCTGGGAACTCTGAGGTTGCTTTGCCACCTGCCCCTGGCTATTGCAGCACGCTTGACCTCTTCAAAGTGTTGTGCAAACACGGGCTAATTAATCCCCTAAACCACCCAAGGACTCAATACTATTATTAAAACAGTTGCTTTCCTTTTAAAACCTAGCCTCTAATCCCCTCGCTTGGGCCTTTTCCCACATCTGCTGGGCTAGCTGGCCCTCCGAGCCCGGTCCAAATGCCAGTGAGGACAAGGAGGGGCTTTTCCCATGAAGGACAAGCAGGGTTTTGATCCCTCTCCCAGSCCAAACCTCCAGCAGGAGCGGGTGCCACCATTTCCACCCCAGGGACTGACACTTTGGGCGGTCACAGCACAGGGTTTTGCACCGCCTCCRTCTGATTCCTGGGGCATTCCTCGGGGATTAAATGCACATTCCTGAAAAAGTAACCGACTGCTCACCTAAACACTGCTTGAGTGTTCAGGTTTYGTGCTAAAAACACATTAGATGGATTTTATTGAGAAGTAAAGAGGCCACTTATTTTCCTTGTCCTAACAGCAAGGCTSCAGAGTTAGAAGGGGGCTCAGCTCTCAGGGGAAATCACAAGCAGTGAGCTGCTCTGGATTTGGGGGTATAAATTATGCTTTTTCAACCTGCTGCAGTTTGCAGACCCTGAAAAYGTTCCAGTGAAGACAAAAACTTCTTTGTAGGCATTCCGGCCTTCTGACAAGAAGCTTGATTTTTTTTTTTAGCTGAATTTTGCTGGCCTCGTAAGCTTGGACTGCTGGGCTTGGTCTGCTGGCCACTGGCTGAAAATGGCTGAGRCTGGTGTAAGGTAACTGTACCTCACCCAGAAGAAGAAAGGCCATTCTTCTTTTGGGGATATCTCTGAGGATCAAAGAACTGTAATTACAGTGCAGAGCTGCTCATGAAAGTGGAGAGAAAGCCCCAAAGGAAATGGAGTCCAAAAGACTCAATTAGTGTGCTTAGGGCTGCGTGTTCTGCAAGAGGCATCCAGGCAGCCTCTGATGTTCCTGTTCTTTGAAAGCTGTCTGGGTTTTGAGCCAGAGGCGTACTGCAGCAGCTGAGAGGTCAGCCCCAGCAGGCACATTTTAATATTCAGGTGCACAGCTAATAACTTGACCAAGAACTGTAATTGCTTTCTCTGTGCTAGGCAGCCAAGCCAACACAGCCAGGAAAGCCTTGGAAAAGTCTGARTCTCCACAGCAGCCTGCATCTAGCCCAATGTCCCGTTAGCAGCATGTCCAGTCATCAGTAAAACTACTAATGGAGCACCTTAGAGAAGAGCGTACCTGCAGAGAGGTGAACAGAGGTGAATCTGCCAACTTGGCACTGTTTCCTGCTTAAACTGGCAGCCTTTGCTGTAAATGAAGGCATGGGTTTGTTTTTTTTTTCTTTTAAAAGTCTACTGCAGGTATAACCTCAGATGTGCCAGTTTAGAGTTTTGTTGTCTGCGGAAGGGGGAGGCTTTACACTAGCAGTCATTTCGGGCTTTTATAAATAGGACTAAAAAATTATTTAAAATTCAGATGAATTGAAAACTGTTCATTCCGTGGCCACAAGGTATTTCTATGAAACACGGACACTAACAACTCTGTAGCAGAAAACTATTAAAAAAGAAAAAGACCTGGGGCTGGGAAGCGAGGCAGGCAGGCAGCTCGCTCACTGTAAAGTTGAGAATTGTCTAGTGACACTTTTCCTCACTTGGCCACATCGCAGCGAGGTCCTGCCGTGAATCAGGCACAGCTGATGGCGAGGGGAGAGGCTGTCCCTGGCCAGGGGGACACACGGCAGGGCAGAGGGACCGAGGGCTGGTACTCACCTGCCGGGAGCAGCAGCAGCAGCAGCAGCAGCAGCAGGCGGGAGCCCATGGGCAGATCGCTCCCACTCTCGCGTCCTTCGGGGTTCAGCCTGGCCGGGCTGCCCGCTGAGCCGAGGTGTGGTTGTGCTCAACAATCCTGCTGCTCCAGCCTTTATGTACACACGGCTCGGCGCCCGTCCCAAGTGAAACACCCTCTCTCTCTCTCCTGCGATGCCCTGAGCCCCAATGCGGCTCCGCTCCGTCCCCGCACTGGGAAGGCTCCGTAATGCGGGAGGAGAGGGCGAGGGCTGGCTCTGTTTGCCCAGCATCGCCTTTGGGAGCGAGGGAGGGGCTCCTGGAAGGGCATTAGGCTGGTAGTCTCTGGGACAGCCCAAGACACCCAGGCACTAAGCCGGGCTCCTTCTTTAAGCTGTTTGCTTACAGACCCTGGTTAACCTCTGAGAAGCTGCGGCAAACTGAAGCCTTCAAACGGGGCTTTCTGTGGCTTGGGCTCACTGCTGTGGCATTCCCTTGGCAAGGATTTTCTCCTTTTATAGATCACTTCCCAGGGTAATTTTTTTTAATGACTTTATTTTAAGACTGATTATTTTCCTGTTTAAAAAAAAAAAAAGACAAAACTATAAAAATCCAACAGAAAGAATACTGTTAAGTGCAAGCACCTAATTATAAACTGACCAGAAGAGCTAATTCGGCACCACTCTGAGGGATAAATACCCTCTTGGCCTGTTGCTGCACCTGACCAACACCAATGGATTTCTTGAAGACTGTCAATATGTGGGTGCCAGCCATCCTAGAACACCAGCAGTTTGGTCCAGCCCCCTGGGGCTCTGGTCACATCAGGCAACCAGACAGAGGTGGCCTTCCCATCACACAGCCTCTGCTTGTGCAGGGTCACAGGCAATGTGGGCAGGGGGGATGGCCACAGTTATTTTGTCTTTGAGCTTGAAACAGCTTTAAAATYCCCACCTTTCTTGGTACAGCAGCCACCAGACTTGCTGGGCTCTGAGCATCTGTCCCTGCCCTGGTGTGGGCATGGTGGGCAGGGGGGGCTGCTCTGCTGGACTGCAAGAGCAGGGGAAGAAGGCTGTTTGACCCTTCCCAGGCACAGCCCAGGATTATCAAAGCAGCACCCCTTGTCTGACTTTCTCATGGTGAAGTTTCTTCCCTTCTTATTGGCATAGGTTTAAATATTTGCTTGCCACGCATTGAATCAAAGGTCATCAGCGAGTCTTTTATGGGGCTCCTTTCTGCTGAGACCTGCCCCAGTGCAGCTGCTGTCACTCTTTGCCAAACAAGTTTTCAAGATCCAGAATATCCTGGGTGCCTGTGATACTGGGCAAAGGAAACRGCAGGACTGAGTAAATGTCATTGCAATTACCAGCATGAAATTTCTTGCTCACCAGCACCCCCGTGATGGACCATGTGCTGGCAGCAAAAKAATGGGGAGGACAGCTCAAGCACACCACTCACCCAGCTGCTCCCTGCCCTGGCTTCTGCACTACCTTAGAAAGGCTTGAGAGGAGCTGCAAAGTTTACACTTCTCCCCTTGGAAACCCTCTTCAGTAATTATTCATTTACTCAAGTCATGATGTCAAATAATGCAGATCACAGAATCATAGAATCATAGAATCATAGAATCATAGAATCATAGAATCATAGAATCATAGAATGGTTTGGGTTGGGAGGGACCTTAAAAATCATCTCGTTCCAACCCCCTGCCACGGGCAGGGACACTTTCCACTCAAACAGGTTGCCTCAAGTGCTGTCCAGCCTGACCTCGAATGCTTCCATGGATGGGGCATTCACAACATCTCTGGGCAACCTGTCCCAGTGTCTCAGCACCCTCACAGTAAAGAATTTCCCCTTAATATCTAATCCAAACCTTTTTCATTTAAAAGCCATTCCCCCTTGTCCTGTTACTACAAGCTCTTGTACAAAGTGTCTTTCCTGTTCTCTTGTAGCCCYCTTTAGGTACCAGAAGGCTTTTATAAGCTCTCCCTGCAGCCTTTTCTCCATGATGAACAGCCCTAATGCTCTGGCTTCACAGGAAGATTGCTCCTGCTCCCAGATCATCTTCATGGCCCTCCCTGGCTCACTGAACAGGTTCACATCATTCTTATGCTTTGGACACAGGGCCTGTGAGAAGTGCAATGAAGAAGGCAGGCTGTGAAACAACATGTGGGGCTYGGCTGAACTATGCCCTGTTAGAGCWAACCCCACCCCTGACAGGTYCCTGGCTGGCCCAGCTCTTATTTGGGGACCAAGAAAGAATTGTGAGGAACCTCTGCAGATGCGTTACAGGATTCCAGGTGTTCCCAAGTCTGGGGGAACTGTCCCAAAAATTATCTACTCTGATTTGGATTTATCAGAATTACTTGAATTTGAAAGCAGATGTTTAATCTTTCAAATCCTTGCTGATTTAYAAACCTGATCAAAAAGACATTATAAAGTTTCAGGTTACAAATTATTTCTATTCTTTCCATTCTCACARCACCTCAAACAACAGATTTGCTTTTTGCTCCCCCATTCAGCCACAAATACAAAATAAAGAAATAGAGAAGTCTTTCATAGCCAAATATATCTTCAGTTTTTGAAGAAGAATTTTTCAGGGTGTTTGGAAGGGTTGCCCAAATTCAACCTTCAAATGCAAAGCAGAGTTAATATATCACATCCTCATGATTGTTTCACRCCACTGACTGGTCAAGTTTGTTGATCTGTGATTACTGTTGCCTAARTTAATGAGCATATTTATTAAATAGTATTAAGTGCTAATCACATTCTTACTATGTTACAACAAATGCGCTGGGATCATGAGRGCATTTTTAGTACTGTTTAGGGAAATAAAATTAATTCCCCAATCCCACCTGTTCCTGTGAATTTTGCAGGTTACCTGTTTGAGCTTCACTCTCTCTAGTGGCAAGAGGCAGCACATGAGAGTGTTGGATGTCATCTCATCAAACTCAGACTATTGCCTGTCCAAAACTGTGAGCACAATAAACTTATTTTAAGCCTCAGGTCACTTGTGTGGGACAATCGATCCCTGCTGTAGGGGGCTGTTCCTTCAGATGAACTGGCTCTGTTGAAAACAGTTCCTTTGGCGTGTACCATCAAACCAGGGGTGGTACTATCAGGTACTACCTCAGGGGTGACAGCCCTTTATACCCTTGGGCTTGTTGAAAAACAATATTTAGGAAAAATCTTCAGTTGAAGGGGAGAAGATATTTATAAGAACTCCACAGTTTTTAGCAAGGTTTACCCAATGAAGTTCAAAATGTCAGATCTTCTTGTAGAAGGTGAGCTGTCCTGTATCTCCTAAAGGCTGTGCTTGCTCAAATGAAATACCCAGCCACTGCTGTGGATGTCACCCCCAGCCTCAAGAAGAGGCCTCTTTTCAGCACCAACAGCATCAATGGTGCTTTTGTTACCCAGGCCAAAGGGTTTTCCTGTGRGGGGCAGAGGAAGGTTTCTTGCAATACCATGAGCATTAGAGATTCCTTAAAGGATCTGTGATCATCCCCTCCAAAGAAAAGGAGTAGAGAGATTGAAGGATGGTCAGAATTAGAAGAGAAAAACAGTTCTAAAGAGAGACAAACTCCACATTAACTGCTCAGAGGAAGAAAAGCAAATCTAAGACTGCCACATGATTTCTGGTGGCATAACCAGTTACAGAGTTAACACAGTAACATAGTAAGTAAACAGTCTTGCTTAATATTGTCTTGCATGGAAGGTCTGCACATATTTTGGTGCTGATAGAGCCCAGTCAGTCCTTAATGAAGAAAGACAACATTACTGTTATTATTATTTCCAGTTTCTAAGTCAGCCCCAAAATGAGTTCTGAAAATGGCTCCTGGTTTGAGGGTGTCTGCTGTGTATCTCCTCGAGCTTCACTGCTGCTGGGTTCTGGTCTCATCATTCCTGAAAAGAGAAGCAGGATGGCTTCAGCCCACACCACCCTCACAAAGTCAGCACTTGCTTTTGTCTACAGTCAGTCACACGCCCCACCTCAGGTGACAAAGGAGAAAGGCCACCTCTCTCAGGTTTTCAGTGTCACAGTTTCCTCCCATCACAATCTCAGAAGGCACTGTCTCCTGAGCTGACTGTGGGGGGACCTTCCCCTCTGGAGTAATTTCCACATATCTTGTCCCTCCTCTGCACACTTTCTTCACTTTCTTGCACTCCTCCCATGACTGAGCAGACTTCATGTCCTGCATGTGTAAGGCTGCTGGAGGGAAGGCAGGTGGAGGTGACATGGGTCAGGAAATAATGAGGAATGGAAGCAGGGGAGTAATATGATATGCTGAGGGAGCAGCAGCTTCTTCCTTATTAGCATTGCTGAATATGGGGTAAACAGTGCGGGCTGCGTGCTGGAGAAGAGCTACACCAGCCCAGCAGGCTGCTCTTCCACCCTCACAGCTCCTTCCATCAGCCCTCCTGAGGATCTGTTACCACGAAAGCTGAAAGCTCCGTTCAATTCACCCAAACCCAGAGTCACATCCCTTCMCACATTCCCTCCACAAGCCATGGAGAGAGGAGATGCAATCCACAGCAGAGATGGRCTGCAGGTGTCCCATTGTTATGCAGTCACTGCAGGTGGGGACAGCCCTGGCTGCCTTCTTCTTTTGTCACTGGGAACATCAAGGCTTTCTGACTTTAACAGCCACTTTCTCTTACCCCGARGCTTTCTGAAGTGCCCATTTCCTGCTTTGTTCTGCCCTTGTGCTGTAGAACAGGCAGCTGTCCTGCTGCCTGAGACAAGGTCACTCAGGAACAGAGCAGTTCTGGTGTCTCCATCAACTGTTGGGCTTTGGTGGAACTCACATAACCTGCTGCATGTGTAAGGGCAAGGGGGCCATGACTCCAAACTGGTTTTCAAGACTGCAGTCAATGTCTCTTGGCCACGGATAGCCAGGAATCAGGAACACAGCATGTGCTGGCAGTGCAGRACCTGCTGCCATCACCATCTGGGGTTGCTGCTGTTGATACAAACCAGGGAAAAGTGCATCTCCATGGAACCACGTTGAGCACTGTCTGTAGTGAAAACCAGGCATA